TAACAAGACACATGGGAATTCAAGAACATAGTCACCTCTAATACTTCTATAAATAGAGTCATTTATGGAAGTTGTGCACTTTCTCGTTTCGTTCGTGTCGTATAGATCATGCCAAAAAGAAAGATGGGATAGCCTTAACATACCTGAACTGATTCTCTTGACAATCCTTCTAAAACACGCCAATCGCGACGAAACACATAACGGCGAGATCGAAATAGGGAACGATCTGTATGATATTCTTGAGAAAGATTGCACCGTACTCCCTTAGAATGCAAAATCTTGTTGCTATTACATTACATAGTCTTTGTATCAAAGATTGAAGCCACTTCACGTTGATAAGATGATAAGTATTTTTGCTTGAATTCTTGTTGAAGATCCGTTTCTCACCAATTGATATAAGCACCTCTCTTTGAATTAGAGAGGTCTTATGCTTTATATGGTGTGGGCCCCACGTCTAATGACTAAGCCACATAATCTATTTAAGTATGCCACCTCCCAATCATAATTCAAGAGTCACTTAGTGGCTTATGTATGTGGCTGCCACGTTGGTTTCAAGAATTTATCCGAAAGAGAATCCAAAATGTCTTAAATAAATTACCAATTTCCTAATTAACTTGAAAATTCCCCACTAATCTAATAATTAATCAATTACCCACATAATTAAGAATCATCTCATACTTAAAATACTACTTACTTTTAGCACACCTTATACACCTTTCTATCATGGTCATGTGGTACCTTGTAGGGCACAAGTCCATAAATACCGGGTATTATAGCTCAGACCGTATTTTGTCCCAAAATGTCAAACTTTGACGAATTTCATTTTCTTCGATTTGCTTACCTTATCACCTTCACGAATTTACTCATCACTTGTTTGAAATAGCATAATGCTTATAATCTCAAAATAATCCCATTCCCGAACTTACGTCGATTAACTTACGACGAAACTTTAATGTATGGAAATGCGGGATGCAACATCTCATTTTCCGAGCTTCCATCAATTTCCTTATGGCGTACTTTCACGTATAGGGTGTAACATGGATCATTGAATATTGTTATCCTTACTTATATTCATTGTCATCCAGACAAAATATACTTGTTATTTTATCTTGACACCGATAGCTTTATCTTTTGGATATTATTTTTAACTAACTTATTATACTCCTGAGTACCAAACCAAGGATACTGATATATTGGCAGCATTCCGAGTAACTCCTCAACCTGGAGTTCCACCTGATTAACTTTTCTACACATAAAACTAATTGGTTGAACCAAGATCTATATTTTTGGTCAAACAATGGTAAGATCACAACTTAAAGAACAACTTATTCTATTGACGTAATAGTCATTCATAATGGGTAGGCGGACATATAAAGAGCACCATCATCTTACTTAACAATGGGCTTATGCGAAAGAGAGCACTGCTTCCCAAGAAGATAGTCCGCTTTCCACGATCCCTACTTGATTGCTCTAGCTTTTGACTCATACGACATTGAAATTGGATAAGTTTAGTTTCTTTTTTCTTAAGGCAGTAGCCTTTAATGTTGACACCAATTAGATTAATCTACCAATATACATATTTGGTTACGTTGACGCAGAGTCGGATGCACATGGAAGGGGTGGGTTCACGTGAACTCATTCTTCTCTTTCTAAATCATATATAGTACCAATGAATTTCAGCTCGATTATTTAAATTAGCACGGGTGAACCAAAGCTCAAATGATCATTTTAGTTCATTTGTAAAGACGTGCACCTTCTACTTTATAGTTAGGAGTTCAGTCCTGTATATTTTCTTCTTTTAAATTATATTTTAATTAACAAATAGGGTTAAATCCTCATGCCCCTATCGTTTTTTCTAATTAAACACACTTTTTTGTTTTTTTTTTCCCTTCTCTTTCTTGTCTTTATTTTGAACTATAAAAGTGCTAAACCAAAAAATACATCTCTCAAACACCCTCTAGATACCTCGGGGCTTACACCTAAGTGATATAAGGTGAAGTCTCAACTCACAACTAGGGGTGTACAAAGGAAACCGACAAACCGCACCAACCCGATAATCCGAATCAAACCGAGAAAAAAAAAACCCGACTATGGTTTGGTTTGATTTGGTTTGGTGTTGGAAAAAAAAACCCGACCATAATTGGTTTGGTTTGGTTTTAACTAAAGAAAATCAAATCGAAACCAAACCAACCCGACATTAAATATATAGAAATTTTAGATATATTTAATATATAAATATACTTATTGTGATGTAATTTATAGATATTTCTTTAAAAAATTTATAATTTTATCTTTTAAGGTATTATTTCAAGGTAGGACTTAGAACTTTTGAATGTTCCAATAAGTTTTGTAGCCATTTATATTAGTAAATTAAATAATGCTAACAAAACCCAAATCAAAATCAAATCAATACTAATGCTAACAAAAGACATTCAATTCAATACTACGAACGGGAATGTATTGAATATCTATTTTTTGTTTTGCAATAATTTAGATAAAAATGCATCACCTATTTTTATTTTTTCTTTGGCGTTTAGTCATGTTATTAATACTCCCTTATTAGTCTACTTATTTTAGCATGACTTAGTACTTTTAGATTATGTTTATTTTTATAATGACTTTTTAATTAGCAATATTTATATTACATAATTTTGTTATCTTTATTGTTGAATATTTTTAGGATAATGCCTGACACATCTCATATTTTGTATTATTTTCTTGAAAAATACTTTATATAGTTGTATCTTACTAGGATTAAAGAAATATTTTGAGCACAAGTTATATGTTTTGTTCTACGAAAATTTTATCGAAAAAAACCCGAAAACCCGAGAAAAACCGAGATTGAAAAACCCGAATTTTATTGGTTTGGTTTGGTCTTTAGATTTAATAACCCGACACAATTGGTTTGGTTTGGTAATTGTAAAATCCGAACCAACCCGACCTATGTACACCCCTGCTCACAACCACTTGAATGCAACTCCAATACTTCTTTTGAGACTATTAATAAGTTGAAAGTTGAAATTATAGTAAATAATTCACAAATCTTTAAATAGAATTACAATAACACGCATGTAAGAATGAACTTACGATTCAGTCAGTGAGATTAAGGAAAGATCCTTCCCTCAGACTGATTTGGGCCTGAAAAAAATGAAGATCAACCCAGTCTATTGCAAGCCCAGAGGCTCTAGGCCCAAATGCCTAATACGACGCCGTACGGGCAGCAAAAGTTAAATCAGCAGAAGATAACGAACGCAATCCAATTTCAAGGGTTCCAAACAGAACAGAAAAAAAGAAGAAAACCTGTGGAGTAAAAAATGTCAGCCTCGGCGATATTCGGGTTGAAAATGGCGGTGTTGCCGCGTTCTTCAACTGTTTCAACCACCGGTTTCTACGGAGGAGCCTCCAAGTTGGAGGCGGCGCCGAAAAGTGTTGGAGGATTGGCAATTGAGTGTTCATCAAGGCCACAGAAGAAGGCCACAGCTCACCACAAGAAGACGCGGCCGCGCAAGACTCAAGCTTGGGATATTCGACGTGGACCCGCTGTTTATCCTCCATTGCCTACCTTACCTCCTGAGTGGTCATTTGCTACTGATGAATCGGGTCAACCCGCTTCTGCTGGAGCTTCTGAGCCCAAAACCGAGTAATTTTCTGTAATTGTTAATTTGTCATTTGAGCTTTGAGTAATGGTGTTTTCAATTTGATACCTGAGAATTTTCACTTACTATTTTGCTCTTGCCCGTTGAATATTACTACTTGTTCAATTATAGTCTATTATGCTTTGGCAGGTGATTAGAAATCAAATTTACGAGTATCTTTTTGACGTAATGAAGTAATTCAGTATATAATTGCGATTACTATAGTAGTCTAAGTGAAATTGCGACTATCTAACATCTTCAACAAAATGTCTTAGCTTGTGCTAACAGAAAACAGAGATAATAAACAATGAATAAATTAGTATGTTATGCTATCAAGTCGGATGGTTAACTTCGTTTGGTTTATAGCTGGTTAAACTCCTATTGATGTAAGATGACTCGATTTTAAGCCTAACTTGCTTTTCTCTCTTTTCTTTTTTACAAAATATTTTAGAAAGCATGAAGATATTCTTATCTTTTAATGCATATTCTTATGCAACAGCTAAATCCCAAGTAGGAGAATTCATTATACGTTGCTATACTCTTCTCCCTGTCAGATTGCAAAATTTAGTGCTCAAATGTTAATACACTAATGTTTGCAAATTCCAGACACCTCGTTTATGGGTCTTTCAAGAACACAAACTCTATTCACTGTTTTAGACATTGTGAAGAAGAATGCTTACAATAAATTTGTCAAACTGCCAATTCAGAATTTGCTAAAATAAGATAACCTCTTATTTTCTCTGGACCAAGTATTAGAAACGGGTAACCGAAGGGAAAACAAGAAAGAAAGAACGTCGCAAAGTGCAAACTTGAGGGCAAAGGCCATGTTTTCCCGAGGAACAAGAAATGTAGAATCAAACATTTCTCCATCTTTTTACGTTTTCGTCAGTTAAAGTTCTATCAGAAGAAGCCTTTTCCCCATCAAATTGAACATTTTTTTAAGAAACGAGGTTTTCTCCTTTATAACCTTTTCGTTTTATACTTGTTACAAGACTATTCCAAGAACACATTTAACTACTCAACGTGTTGGGCACGCTATGTTTGTGCTACAAATCCTGCTTATTCAGATGCTTCATCAGAAGAGCAGAGGCGTACTCATCTACAGAGTCGCATGGTCATCTTGCCCTTGTCCTAAACCTGATAATCTGAACATTAATATATGTAAGCACTCTCCGGTTAAAGCTCTCCTTTGCGTCTAACAGGCTAAACTATGTTGCAAAGCCAAGACGACGACAACAATAAGTCCCACAAGTAGGGTCTGGGAAGGGTAGTGTGTACGCAAACCTTATTACCTTGGAGTAGAGAAACTTTTTCCGATAGACCCTCGGCCAAGCACGCAGATGAAATTCATCGCAAGAGAACACGAAAGACCAAACTTCTCCAAGAGTTGGAGTAGAACAGAAAAGTCAAGAATGTACATGTATGTTCCTACTGTAAAAGGCATTTTTACAAGGTGGCACAGCTTGTAAACACCCATCCGAGAATGCAGACACAGCAGGGCTATCCCTACAAAATTCCACCCCAACCAAAAGAAAATAGAACTGCTTTATGCCCCCCAAAAGAAGAAGCAAAAAAGATAGCGGAAACTAAGCTGGATCCCCAAGGTCAGAAATTGGATTTGTGTACAACGGGCGAGTTTCCAAAGAGCAACCTTCATCCAGCATTCTTGCTAATGGAGCTTCTCTGCACTTCACCACCGCATCTCCTACCAGCTTTTAGGAATTGCACAGTAATCAGTTCTATCCCTCTCCACGTACTGGCGGGTGGATAGAATTCCTTATGATATTTTCCCCGGAAATTATAGTTAAGCAAGAAATGGATTTCTCAATTCCTCATTATTTCTGCTTCACCAGGCTCAGGAGAAAATCAGTAAATATGTGTTCATATTCTGGCATTTTCCCATAACCTGCAGCATAGTATAAAAATGTTGCAGTCATGGCTTTCAGGTGAACATTTTCTTTCCTCTTCAAGTAGCGGATAAATCTAACTACTTCCGCTAGAGAGTGTAATTCCCCTTAGAAGGGTTTGCTTACCAGGAAAGTAATTAATATCTATGACGTAAAATCGGTCTTTGGTCCCAAGCTCCCTAATTATATCCAGGTTGAAGAGCCGGAGACCCTGCACAAAACATTGCAGTAATATTATACAAAATTTCCCTTATGAGGCAGCAGGACAAAAAACATGAAGACAAGAAACAGAAATTGTAAAACAAGCACCAAGCATCATTCCAACACAGTTTAAGATGGAAAGAGAAAACAGAAAGTAATGCACCAGTCTGCGCCGAAGTTCCTTAGCAAGCCTCTCAAGTAATGGTCGTGGAGGAAGCTCTGCAAAGGATCAAAAGTGAAAATAATCATGACCACTTCCAATGATTTACTTCAGGTCTCTACAGGTATATATCCATAACTAAATGCTATCTCCACAGCACGTATCTTCCCGAGGAGTATACTATTCACCAAGGTAAGATGGCAATCACTGGTTCGATTCACTAACATGAAGTAAATACAGTATGTAACAGAGCTCTATATCTTTAGCTTCTAAACTTCGGACTTAGAGATTGAGTGCTCTATCTGCTAACGACTTCAAACAGAATTATATACCAGAGCACCAGCAAGAGAACACCTTCCTTCCTAAACAATCCCTTCTTCCTTGTAATCCTTATAATACAACATCGTCGCAGTGTAATTCATCTAAGCACTTCTAAGAACTGACAGAGAGACAGAGGAAGGGTATTAACCAGCAAATGCTTTCTACATCCCAGTTAATCAAACCTACTCCAAATTGCAGGGTTCAAGAATAAAATATTAAAAAGCATTACTTGTGTTTGTTAAATAAGTGTTTAAAACAATAATCTGAAATGTTGAAGCAAAGAGCATTTCCATTTCAAGGAGTAAGGGACAGATTTTCTGATGACTAAATTAGAAAAAAGGTCTACTTTATCGGGGCGAAGAAAGTGCAAAAAGGTAAAAGCTTGTCACTAAAGGTTCAAAATCATAGTTAAAGGTATTCCTTCCAAATTCAATTCCTGGGACCCCATGATCCCAAAGTTTTTAGCAGGTCATGGTCCTAGAGAATTCTCAACAAGATACGCCTTGAGAATTAGGGAAGTCCGACTCTTCAAATGATTAAATAAAAAAAGAAATATAAAAAACAACTTATTATTCATCTGTTTATTCTTTTGGTGTATGCCATAACAGTGCATCTATATATCTAAAGCAACTATGATGTATTCGATGTATCTAGAAACAGAGAGTAGCTAAGGGAAAAGATGGCTCACCCCCAACACAAGGGTCTAAATCTGCTTCATCAGCAGATGCAGCAGCACAAGAAACCCTTGGGAATCGAAAAATCCCAGGGTTTTTTGACAGCTCACGTTTGCTAACATCAGGTAAACTGAATCGTCTAACAACCTTAATTGCTTCCCCGACAATGTATACCTTAAACAGAATTCCTCCTACAAACTCAAGGAAAAAAAAATACATAATCAGCAACTATATGTGACTCATAAAACAACTTCACATTGAAGACACAAATTCAATATTTCAACTAATATACATACCATGGTTGATAAATTCCTGTAGGACAAGTGGGGGTTCAAGCATCTGAAGAGAGAACTTATCATAGGCTAGCGACAACTCATGGGACTTAGCAGCCAAAGGCTTTGCAACTGAGAAGATAAAAGCAGCTCAATTCAGGAAAATTGTGTGAATGGATCACTTTGCCTACATATTGCTCAAGTTTGGAAGACATCTTGTTCAAAGAATTCAAATGCTTGTCCCCAGTATGTTACACAGCTGCAATTTTGATGCCTACACCTACCTTTACCGAGGTATGAAGCTTATTGAGTTTAAAAAGTGGCAACTGCCCAAAGATCAGTTGATTAAAGACGAAGAGGAAAAGAATGCATACCAAGAGGAAGTCTCAGACCAGCTTTACTCACTGCATCTGAAATAGATGAAGAATCTTTCTCAATAACCAGTTGCCTTGGAACACCAACTTTCCCTATCAAGCAATCAAAAACAAGTTAATCCTTCTTTTTTTCTGGTTATATGGTAAACCCACCCTCAAACTCCCTCACACAGCAGCCCGACATTGGCCGTCCCCACTTCTTCAAGCTAAAAAAGAAATCATCAATGGCCACAATTGCATGTAACCTAAGCAGTAATAATTATCAAATGATCATAACAAGACAGGAAAAATTACCGTAGCTGTCCGACAAGTTCAGGTCTGCAACATCTTCAAGCATGTATTGGCGATTGTATACATGCTGTATGGCATCTGGAGGGTCGAGGACTGTGACATCTGGATGTGTTAGCCTATATTCCTTCATGTAAAGCAAAGAAAGAGGTAAGGAGAAAAATATAGCGGTTCTCCAATATACTCAGTTGATTAAACTAGATATAGGTTCTACAGAAGCAAACAGCAGTTAAAACCCAGGATGTAAATAAGGTGATCGGAGCACACAGTGCATTCGCCTTTTTAGAGTATGACAAAACTAGTATGAGCTAACAATGTAGCAGCAACAAACAGTCTGATTGAGTGTGACTTTCAGTTCAACTAGAATAAATCTACCATTTCACCATAAGACAATAATGACCAAAATAAGTGTAATAAGAGTTAAGACAATTGTTCTCACAGCTGCACTGAACGGTCATTCTTCCAAAACAACAGACTCAAAATTTCATGATCCAACACGGGCAAGTAACCAACACAACAGTCAGATAAGACGACATCAAACAACAACAACAGCAGCAATGATCCCAAGCAAGTTGGGGAACATCAAAGCAGAACCTAAAGAAAAAATACCAAAGATTATAGAACACATTAGATTAGTGCTCTCCTCTTTAGCTGATATAAGGATTAGTGATGAAGCCTGGAAAAACAGAATCCATTTATGACAACCAGGAATCCTATCTGCAATCAGCTAATCTGTCCACGAAGAAGAAATATTCTCACTGTCCACAATTCATGACCGAGGGAAGAGATAGCAGTCTGCAAGTTATGTCAGATGGAACAAGTTTAAGCAAAAAGACAGCTTGTCTCACCAACCACTGCCAATGCATGTCTAATCCACGTCAAGTAATTGCATTGTATTGTAGCCTATTATTATTACAGATTTATCCAAACATGCATGTCAACTGTTACCAACAGGATTCTATGAATAACACACACAAAAAGAAAGCTTTCAAATGAACCAACCTCAAGAATGCGCCGCCACTTGCTTCCTGACAACTGCAAGGAATAAAGAGCACGAGAATGTCAGAAGAGACAGACAGCGACATATTCTAAAATGACATCCTCCGGGGAGAAGCTATAACGATTAGCTATACAAGCATATACACGCAAGAAAAATAAGATGGTTTGGAATAGATATTTGACGATGTGCTCTTGTAAGATACTAATATAGTTAAAAACAAAAAGCATATATATTCCAACAAGAAGGACAAATACACTGAGGAATTAGAAAAGGTAGAGTACTTGCCTTATGGAGCACAATGTCAAAAGGGCCTTGATCTGACAGGGGTTTGCTCTGATCAATAGCAACAAATAATATTCCCTTAGCCCTGCACAATTTACAAGCAAGGTTAGCCACCAGATTGCAATTGCTTTTTGAATCTACGTGGACATTAGCGTAGGACTTGAGCAAAAGAAGTTCGTGTAGAAAATTGGTTGAAGCAAAATCCATGTAATGGAATGGTGGAAAAGTGAATGGGATCGTTTTAAGTTTAATTTCAGTTCTGGTTCTCAACAGGGGTGTGCATTCGATTTATCGATTCGATTTTGACCCTTATCGATAATTACTTAACGATTATCGATTTGGTACATATGCTTATTGTCATCGTTTCAATAAGGTTTCGATTTTTTCGATTTCGATTTATCGATTTTTGGGGCTTATCGATTCGGTTATCCATTACACCAATAAGAAAATTTGTGGGATTCCACGGAAAGTATATTGCTATAAACACGCCTAACTAATATGGACCAAAAGAAGCTAAAATAAGACGAACACCGTTTATAACATAAAAATTTTGTCAACAAGCACATGCAACGAAACTAAAGTAAGGGATCAAATGTATGTCACCAACACTCCAACGGTATAAAAAAAAAAATACATCATCACGGCTAATTCTATTTTCCATTAATTTGAACTTCATTCCCTTGAGCTTTAAATATGATCATTCCTTAAATGTGGTAGATGAAATAATAGGGTTAGGGACTTAGGGTAAAGGAAAGGGTATTATAGAATAAGGGTAAAAAAAAAAAAATTAAAAAAAAATTAATTTTTTTTTTTAGTATTTCTTATCGGTTTATCGATAAATCGATAATCGAAGAGGACAAAATCGAAATCGAAATCGATGACTCAATAAGGAAAAATTCGAAATCGAAATCGATATATCGATAAACCGATAACAAATAATCAATTCGATTTATCGATAAACCAATTCGAATGCACACCCTTAGTTCTCAAAGACATTTGTAATTCTAGTTAAATGACCAACTTTACATTTCCCAGAGAAAGCGGAATATAATAGGGATAGTTCAACAGCAGCGATCATAGAGCATTCACAATCCAAAGTATGTAAAATTACTTGCACAAGACTGCATTAGAGAGCACTATTTGATAATCACATGAACGAATGACAATTTAATGAGGCGGGACCAGGAAAGAAAGACTAAGTGGAGCAGGGATGGCGAGACTCTTAGCAAAGATACGGTAATATTTTTTTTTTTCTTTTGTCCTAGAAAAGTGGCACAAATGAACATGTTAGTTTTAGGTTTTCAGACCTCTGTGAATCAGTTTTTCCCCATGTCTCTCTTATCTCACTACTCTCATTTAGTTCCATCTTCCTGAAGGCAGAATCTTCAAGGACCCAACACAGAAAAGAATGAATGAGCTAATTTACCAGCTGGTCCACCTCGTACTTAGTGAAGGTCACATGCAAATGAAATTTTCTTTGAAGCAATAGGTAATGGAATTCCAGCTTCTAACTAATCATTACGCCAACAAAAGGGTGTCAATTCTGATGTTGCAAGAACTATGGTGCAAATGTGTTCTCCTCACATGCCTAACGTGGTCCTCTTTTTGTAGAATTTCGGTCCATATGCAACTCTTTACATGAAAATTGCCCGGGCAAGAATCGGAAACAGCGGAAATAGATGAATGAAAATAACATTCAGTTTGAAATAAAGACTAATGGAGCAATAGAAGTTAAATAAAAACATG